CCTTGGTTCAAAGCAGTGCTAGCTTTGTCTGGTGCCGGGGTCATGGCATATTCCTCCATTGTTTGTGCAGTGTTTGTGGGGTCTCACCTTACTTTTTTGAGCCCGGGGGCGACAGGAACACCTTTCGGCATTGGAACATGCTGGAGCGTTTTGCGCAAGCTGTGGCGGCTGTTGACAGTTCCATCGCGCGATGGCCGAAACTCTTGACACGAAAAAAAGGCTAGGAGCGACAACTCCCACATTGATACGTGATGCCGAAGTGAGTGTTGTCGATGTGTCAATCGCGCCAGCACTTGCCTCGTTTCTGAGCGGGGCCAAGTGTCAATTCCATGGGGCGTTTGATTCGCCATGCCTTTGCCGATTCGTGACACCCTCGGCTCCAAAAGACTCACCAGCATGTTTGGTGCCATGGATTCCGCAAGTCTTTTTAGGGACAGCGGATGACTTTATCTATTGATTTATTTTTAATTTTTGGCTCGGCCCTCTGCTAGCCATCCTCGGCTCGGTGCTGTGGTGTCGTCATCTTTGGCAGTTTCTCAGGCTCCGGGTGCCAGCCGCGCTGAACATCGCGGCTAAGACTGCAACATAAAGCGTCTGTACAACACGCTCGGCTGCATCCCAGCATCACCGCGACAACGATGCGGCTTGGATGGCTTGGATGGCTTGGATGGCTTGGATGGCTTGGATGGCTTGGATGGCTTGGATGGCTTGGATGGCTTGGATGGCGGGGGTAACCGTCTTTTGCCCATGCGCCTCAGCGTCTGCGAGTCTCTGTTGAAGACTCTGCAGCCTGAGCTGTCTGGTCAGCTGTGCAGCAGACCCATCTCACAATCCTTACCTTTGGAATCCTACCCCAAGCCCAGCTTTTCAAGATTTCCTGCCAAAAAAAACTGGAACCAAAACACTTCGCCGGGATCCCCGCTGGAAGAACAGCTGTATCATTTGAGACTGGCTCCTCTGAGTGTCTTCCACAGGAATTGCAAGCTGCATTCACGCCCCTCCATGGCTGCATCATGTCGAGATGCTCGTCAGCATGCTTGCCGGCGAGCTCGCTGTTCGACTTTGCCTGTGCTACGAAAGCGATCTGCATGCGCTTCAGTCAGCGTGGGCCATGCGTCGTTGCTCAAAATGAGCTCCAGCAAAACCTGGCCTGGGACTCCTTCAGCTGGCTCTCACTTGCAGAAAGCCTCAGCCCGAGGCAATCACAGCACGGGACACGGCTTGACATCGTGCGCTTCATTGGATGGGCCCAAAACTCCAAGCATTTCAAGATGCTCAAGGGCCCCCGCTGCTGCGTGAGCTGCTGCTGGGCTGCCTGCAATCAAAAGAACACCCGCATGCCAGTACATTTGTCTTCAATGCAGGCATGACAACTATGCAATGTATCAAGCTGGTGGGATCTCTGGCATCCTTTCCTCGTCTTGACCCTTCTGGCTTTGTCTGGTGCCGGGGGCATGGCATATTCCTCCATTGTTTGTGCAGTGCCTGTGGAATCTGACATTCGGGTTTTTCAGCCATGCGGGTGGAAAGAGTACAGTTGGGTGCAAGCCATGTGGCGAGAGGCCGTGTGTTTAACGAGTTGCCAGGTGACACTCATTCTCCGCAAACATCAAAGATGCCTCAACTTGGGTAGTGTGAAACAAAAAACAAGAAGGGCTAGAACCTGTCCTGCAAGCAAACGGTTGCGGCCAAGTGGGTACCACGGTTGCCTCAAAGCTTGGAGTATGGTTGCGTAGTCTCATTCTGACGTTCAACAATATATGACGTCATGAATGCGGGCGCCTGTCAAAGTTCCATCATACAACTTCAAAACCTCAACACGCGCAAGAAAGCAGGAGCGACGTCTCCCACCGACATGTGGAGCCACAGTGCAGGGTGCCGATGTGTCTTAGCCGTACCCATGCAAAGCAGCATCTTGCACAAAACCAACCTCCGCCCACCAAGCGCAGCCCCATGCAAAACTGGCGACCAATCCCGAGCACTCTTTTGTCCCCGCCTCAGCGTCCGCGAGCCTTTGCGTCATGCTACGCAGCCTGGCCGCGGACTGGATTGCAACACCTTTTATATGTCAAGCGGGTGTGCCCAAAGCCCGGCAAAAGTTAACATTTTCTGGCTAAGGGAAAAACAAGGGAACCCAAAAGGACAAAAGGGCAACAAGGCGCGTCAACTCTGGCTCTCTTCTTTTAAATGCCCATCTACCCACGCTGACTATGGCAAAAACTTCACTCGCCAGAGGCACTCATCCGCGGACTCGTCTTCCTTCTTCAATGCCTCCTGGCTTGCATGGCTTGAAACCCCCCCGACCTTCACGGGTGGGAGGGTCCCCCCCAATACCCCCCTCCCCCAATGAACGCCGCTTGACCTCGGGCCCTCGGCTTCTCGACTTCAGCGGCCGGCCGGCGTAGTCCTCCAGCTGGATGACCAGCTCCTCTTTCTGCGCGGTGCGCCGTGCACACCTCAGCGTTTTTTGTTGTTGTTGTTTTTTTGGGGGGGTCCAGCGGATAAAAACAAAGAACGCAAACACACACACACACACACACACACACACACACACACACACACACACACACACACACACACACACAC